TATAATGAAGAGTTTTGACTTACCCACTGTGAGCATCAGCCTTGTACTCAACCTTGCGGACAGAGCCATCAGGTTGGAGCAGAGAGTAGTAGCCATGGACAGAGTCACCGTCGCGGCTCTCATGCTGAGACTTGTGGTCACCGGTGTGAGGGTCAGCCACGGAGTACGAGAAGTCGTATTTAGGGTGAGCCTAAAACATATTATTATTATTTATCTGATTACACCAAAACCAAAGTGAAAGTGACTTAATGTTGAAAAAAACTTACGTAAGAGTCATGACCGTCGTAGTGGTAGTTGGCAGCGGGAGCGGCGTAATGGGCAATGGGGGCGGCGTAGTGAGCTACGGGAGCGGCGTAGTGAGAGACTGGAGCAGAGTAGTGGGAAGCGTAATGTACAGGTTCGTCATGGCGGACGATGCTTTGGGAAGACACGGCGTGACCGTGACCGTGCCCGTAAAGGTTGGCACTGGCAGCTGCCAAGAAAGCGCCGAAAGCTACGATCTGAAAATTATGTTTTTAAATATTTAAAGAGTTTATAAATTGAAAATACTGTAAAGTTTTCAAACTGTCACTTTGCTTTTTGTTTCACTTTATATCTTTGTTACACAAAAAAATAAAATAAAATGAGCGTTTAAATTAATACACTAAAACTCACTTTGCTGAACATGTTGTCGTGTTATTTGTTAGTATGACTTGCGAGTATCGGTTGGTTCCAAAAAAGTGCTGTATGGTTTTATAGAACAGTGCTAAAGGAGGGGCGACAAATCGTGCACATAGCACACATTTATCGCCCCTCCTTAACTGTGTAATGGTGACATCGTACTGGAGGCCTTGTAAGTTTCTGTTACGTATAATAATTATTTATATTATACTAAATACACTCCCTATTAATTATTTTAGTTATTTGTTATCTATTCTAAACACCATTGACTCTCAACTTTACTTACTTTATTACTTTTCTCTAAATAATTATTATTTATTAAATATGTTTATAATTTGTTTATTATTATATTATATATTATTTAGGAAATAATATACGTAAGACGCACTGAAAGTTCCTGGAACAGTCTATTTAACATACGACGTTACGGTTGTTGGGAGGATTTTGGGAAGATGTAAACATACTAACGGGCGCGAGAACTTTCATTTCGCGATGAAGGATAAATATAAGGTCCTTACATATGAAATTGGCATTTCGTACGGGTGGAATATAGTCTTTTTTTTTTGTAAATTATATTTAATTAATCAAAGTATGTACCGTTGTTATCTATGCACTTTTGCCATCTCATAGGTAGTTCATTGATCTATTTACTAAAAAAACCACGGGGGCGAGAATCAATAAACTCTTTGAAGGCGGTTTGGACTGTCGCATTGGAGTTGAATTTTTTTCCTTGTAAGAAGTTGTCCAAATTCCGGAAAAAAATGTTGGTTGAGCCATTGCGACGAACGCTTCCGACTATCGTAAAATATCCACTTTTCATCACAAGTAATGATTCGATTTAAAATCACTTCATTATAGTGTCGGTTGAGCAAAGTAACACAGCAGTCGACGCGTGTTTGCAAGTTCGATTCACTCAATTCATGAGGTACCCATCGTTCAAGCTTTTTTACTTGCCCGTTTTGTTTCAAGTGGCTTAATACAGTTTTATCACTTACCCCGAAGCCTGCAGCTATCTCTGAAGTGCTTTGTGATGGATCCGCTTTCACAATAACTTTTAATTCTTCATTTTTCACTTTGGTCTCTTTCCGTCCACAGGGTTGGTTCTGAAGGTCGAAATTTCCAGAACGAAAACGTTGAAACCAAAAACGTACCGTGCTTTCTTTAATCATTAATCCTTCGAGCTGTTTCTGCAGCACTGGTGCCACGGTGAAACTTGTACTCGTAAATATACTGATATTTCATATTTTCCATTGTGCGGTAATAAGCGACGCCAAAGAAAAAAAATGAGGAAAAAACAAACTAATGACTGTTTTCAAAACTCAAATATACCAGCTAAATGAATTTATAAATTTGAATTTGGAATTCTTAACCAAAGAGGAGATATTTCAGATCAAAGTAGTCAGCACGACATAACGCTAATTTCATATGTAAGGACCTAATAGTTACTCAGTTCGTTAGTGTGTCTTCGTTAGATAACATTTGAGTTTCTTTTTCGTTGTATGTAGAACACACATAATAATTTTTCATGATTTGTGCGTGTGTGTGTGGTTTAACTTTTTATAAGTTAACAAGAGAGTTGACAAAAAGTGTAATTGATTTTTGTTGATGAAACCCCATGACATGACATGACCCTGCTCTGTTCGCGGTTTGAAAAAGTAAGAGTTGGACGTGATCATGCTCATGGCGATATATGTAAAGGTCAGCGGCAACTGCGGTTACAGAATTCAATATTCATACCGTAAGACAATTTATTGAAACTGATAAAAAATCAACTTGTCAGCAATTCGTACTATATCAGGCTATACTGTGTTATTTCTAAATAAGCGTAAAACATGTCAATTTCTGTCCATAATATTGTAATTGGTGATGAAAGCTGGAAGTACTACTTTGAATCGGGAAAAAAGACAGTTGATATAAAAGATCTTTACTTTTAAAGACTTGCCGATGAAAGATAAGCAATTTTTTGATTCTTTGGATTGATTCGGCAAAGTAGGGTATTATTTCACAACAGTGTAGCTTATAAAGCATGGATTAATAACCGCAGATCAGCACATAAATACTTGCTTCCTAGTATTTTAAATGGATAAGTTGATGGAATACTAAGAAAATGAATAATTAAGCCCAATAACTTTATGTAAATTTATGTGTTCTCTAGAAAACACGTAGAAATGTGTACACAAGCATCGATAACCTTTTTCGGTTGACATGTTTAATTTATAACCGCTCGAAGGTATTCTGTTAGAAACAGCTATGTTATGTATTAAACCTGTCCCTACAATCTCAAAATATATGAGATCGTTGCCCTGATCAGCAGTCAGTACTAAAGGTTTCAAAGTTAATTATTATCATGAGGCCGTATTCTCACTGAAAACTACAGGAGTACGTCGCATACAAAACCTTATAACTAAAGGCTACAGCAATATTTTTTAATATCGAGTAGGTTTAATGGAACGTCCAGATTTCTAAGAAATTAAAAAACTAATTTTACTAACTAAAATTAATTTATATGAAATTTTATAGTATACAGTTATTTCGATTCCCACCCAGGAAAAATAATTGTGGGTGTAATTTATCTATGATAATATATGTATGTTTATAAGCAGTCTGGTTACCATAGTACAGACTCTGCCGAGTTTGGAATCAGACGGCCGGGTGTGAAATATGTGAGGTTATTATTATTATTTTAGAGATTATCTATGCGGGTAATATGTATGTATGTATGTATTTAGAAATATGTGTGCCCGGTCGACGATATAGGCTTGCCTGCTATTACGTAATTGAAACTAAAATATCGTGGTCGGCAAAGTATGGATTGACTCTGTCTGTTTGTTCGTATATACAAGACATGAATATTTGTGAGCATATAAGTGTACCTTAGAAATCTGTAGCTATAGAACCAAAAGATTTTTCATTCTAATTCTATTTTAAACACACTTTTATTAGCTTGGTATGTAATTATGTTGTATGTATGTATCTATATGTAACGGAATCTTCGAACGTGATTTTGACAGACTTCAAAACGTCGAATTACATTGAAACTGCCCACATATCAAGAAACGATGACAATTTAATATTTTGATAAATTTAGCGGATTGACCTGATCAGGATCTTCAGGATTAACGACTTTTTCCATTCCAGTCCCAGTACTAAGAGGTGTGTACTGAAGCGCATCTGACTTATTTACTTGTTACTTTTTTAGTCTTAATGAGAAAATAATTATCATTAATGACTAAAAAAGAAAAAAATAGTTTATAGTTAAAAAACTAAAAACACGCTTTTGTAACTCGCCAAACTAAAAAGTAGAAAGTTATTTTCTATAAGTTCAAAAAGACAAATCATTTTATCGTAAAAATGCTTGGGTGCTTTTCAATATGTTTTATTATACAATAACTTAACTTTTAGCGATTTCTGTCAATAAAATATTTTAACAACAAAAATTGAGCTTTTTAGTTCGGCTAGTTACAAAAGTGTTGTTTTTAGTGTTTTTAAACTGTAATTTATTTCACTAAACATATAATTTATACAATGTAACTACATCTGACTGTACGCTGTGTAAAACTCGGGTCATTTATTAAAAAAAAAATTAGGTAAATAAGTCGGAATTTAAGTTTGTATCTAACAGTTATACACATATTAAAATAAGTTTTTATAAACATTATATATACCAAGAACAGGTCACAACGGCTTTATGTTAACTTAATGTATGTTTAAATTTAATTTGTAATGTAATTGGACAGCCGTAGCTATTAATCTAGCATTTTTGTCAGAAAATTTTCAAACTTTAACCGCTTACCCCATTTGTATCTCATTGAAACCTATTCTTCTTGCCTCTCTCTTGTATTTACTATATACCTAGTTTTAGTTCAGTTCAGATTATTAATTCGTAAAACAGTTTGGTTGGTAGTAATAGGATTGATGTGTATTTAGTGAGTAGGACTAAATTATAGTTAGTAAATAGTGGGTGTTTAATATGCCTCTGTCTCTCTCTCTCTTTCGAAGATATAATATTGTTTGCTTACCTGTATACATATAAATGTTAAGTTGGTTTGTGTAGTTTTGGAGTTAGTTTTGTTCCCCAATGCTTATCAATGCAACACCAATGTACCACAGCGAAGTGTACCCTATGTACACTAACACTAGCGAGTATAGTATAAATACAAATAAAGTAGTAACCACGTCGTGACCGGACAGGTCAGCTATTAATTAGCATACTTTTATTATTTCACCACTTTATATTTATATTCATCCCGCGTGCAGTCGTAGCAAATAAAAAACAGAGTGTAAGTAATTAAATTATTTATTTTTTTACAATAATTTTCATTTCTTTGGCACAAAAGTATTCAGTAATGGCTGTAGCCATGTCCGTAAGACTGGGGATGTACAGAAGGAGCAGAGTTGTGTACTATGGCGTTGAAACTGTAAGAGAACATATTAAGTTAGTAAAATTTCGAAGAACTTACTATCACTGTTATAACAAAAATCTTAAGCTTGACTTACCCATTGTGAGCATCAGCCTTGTATTCAACCTTGCGGACAGAGCCATCAGGTTGGAGCAGAGAGTAGTAGCCATGGACAGAGTCACCGTCGCGGCTCTCATGCTGAGACTTGTGGTCACCGGTGTGAGGGTCAGCCACGGAGTAAGAGAAGTCGTATTTAGGGTGAGCCTAAAACATATTATTATTATATATCTGATTACACCAAACCCAAAGTCAAAGTGACTTAATGTTGAAAAAAACTTACGTAAGAGTCATGACCGTCGTAGTGGTAGTTGGCAGCGGGAGCGGCGTAATGGGCAATGGGGGCGGCGTAGTGAGCTACGGGAGCGGCGTAGTGAGAGACTGGAGCAGAGTAGTGGGAAGCGTAATGTACAGGTTCGTCATGGCGGACGATGCTTTGGGAAGACACGGCGTGACCGTGACCGTGCCCGTAAAGGTTGGCACTGGCAGCTGCCAAGAAAGCGCCGAAAGCTACGATCTGAAAATATATTTTATTAACATTTGTAGTGTTTACGATTAGAAAATATTTTAACATTTTAAAACTGTCACATTCTTTCACTTTATATATTTGTTACACAAAAATTACAAAGATAATGAGTTCCTAAATTAATATACTAAAACTCACTTTACTGAACATGTTGTTGTGTTATTTGTTAGAAAGACTTCTGAGTAACGGTTGGTTACAAAAACGTGCTGTATGGTTTTATAGAACAGTGCTAAAGGAGGGGCGATAAATGTTTGCAATGCGCACGCACCTTGACTGTGTAATAGTGACATCGTACTGCAGGCCTTGTAAGTTTCATGTTACGTATGATACTATTTTATATAAACTACATATATTAGCTATTAATTATAGTTATTCGTTTTCTATTCTAACCACCATTGACACTAAACTATACTTTATTACTTTTCTCTAAATAATAATTATTAATTAAATATGTTTATAATTTGTTTATTCTTTATAGTAAACGTCAATAAAATATATATATATATTTATTTTAATAAATGAAGTACTGAAAGCTTGTGGAACTGTCTATTTAACATACGACGTTACGGTTGTTGAGAAGAAATTGGGTAAATGTAAATATAAATATGGGCGCGAGAACTTTCATTAGGGAACTTTTATTTCAGAATTAATAGTTACTCAGTAGGTTGTTGTTACTTCGTAAGATGACATTTGAGTTCATTTTTCGTTGTATTTAGAGCACACTCAATGATTTTCCATGATTTGTGCTATGGTTTAACTTTTTATAAGTTAACAAGAGAGTGGACAAAAAGTGCAATTGATTTTTGTTGATGAAACCTCATGACAGTACTTCGTCCTCTCTGCGCTCTACGAGACTTGAAGGTCGGTGGCAACTGCGGTTACAGAATTTAATGTTAGTACCGTACGACAATTCATTATAATTGATAAAAAAAACAACTTATCAGCAATTCGTACTATATCAGACTATACTAAATTATTTCAAAATAAGTGTGTAATATGTCAATTGCTGTCCATAATATTGTAATTGGTGACGAAAGCTACTTTAGGAAGTATGACTTTGAACTGGGAAAAAAGTCTGTTGATATAAAAGATGTTTACTTTTGAAGACTTGCCGATGAAAGATAGGCAAATGGTTGATTCTTTGAATTGATTATTATTATTATTTTATAGATTATCTGTGCGAGTAATATGTAGGTATTTAAAAATATGTGTGCCCGGTCGACTGTATAGGCTTGCCTGCTATTACGTAAGTGGAACTAAAATATTGTGGTCGGCAAAGTATGGATTGACTCTGTCTGTCCGTGAATAAAAGACATGAATATTTGTGTGTAAATGTGTGTACCTTAGAGATCTGTAGCTATAGAATGAAAAGATTTTTCAGGTTAATTATATTTTTAACACAACTGCGTAGTGTTTATGTGTATGAATACCCGTGCTACCTAATATTGAAAGTAACACGTCATTATATCTATCGTCGTCTTAATAAGCTTAAACTATAACAACAAACACAGCGTTACCATTGGGAGTTTGTTGTATTTTATATTAAAATTTTAAGACTTTTGTGCAAGCATTCTATGATCGCTTGACTTGCGAAAGGGTTGCTACCGAGGCGTGAACATGTTCAAGGGAAACTAAATAACTGTAAATTATATTAAAAGATGATTAAATTATGTTGACATTTCCCACTCACCAACCGCAACACACTAACGAGGTCGGAATACAACATAGTGCATTTGTGCATCTCTTCTTTTAGATTTTTTAATATTTCTGACAGAAAACAAAGTCAATCGTCAAAATAGTCTGTTAATAGAGTTAATAGAGTTTAACGAGTACATGGTTTGTCAAATAGCCTCGCGGTGTTACAGAAACTAGCTGCTAACATTAATAAATTTGAACATTAAAATATTATTAAAATTTCTGTTTTGCTTTTCTCTTTATGCAGTTAGTTGTTATATTTTATGTCTATAAGAGCGATATTTAAGGACTCAGCAATATATTACAGACGCGTGGCCAATAAATAATATTGTTAATAGATTAATTGTTTCGTTTCAAATACGAGTATCTCAAGGTTTCTAACTGCCAGCGAGTGTAAATTTTATGATTAAAATCAGGCTCACATGTAAAGACATATTACTTTTATGAGCTTTATAACATGCGTCTAACCAAAACTTATTTCACGAGCAGATTTAAAGATAGTTACCTAAAACATTACCACACAAATTTAAGAAAAAAATATTGATTATAAAGCTTGCTACTAAAACTTTTAAAATTTGTTTTCAAAAGTACCAATTATTATTTAACTGTGGACTGTGTACAAGAGAAGATTCTTGAATTGAACTGTGTTGAAAACCTGGAAGGGATCAAATAACAGTTTAATGTTAATGTTGAACCGGAGTAATTGTAAATATTGACCATATTTACCTAATCATCATCATCATCAACAGCCTTTAATAGTCCACTGCTGGAAACAGACCTTTCCATACACAGGATGCTTTGACCTACTCTACCACGTTGACCAGACCGGTTGTTATGGGGTTTGTTTCAAGTTCTCCTTCTCATTGCAGTGCTGTTGTGCTGCCTAGTTTGGTTTCCTAGTCGGCTCTTACGACACCCACGGCATGAATAAGAGTGTTGACACTCTGTATTCTTAATCCGTCACCACACCGAAAAAGTACCTAAGAGCTTTTGAATATTAGGACTAACTCGCCTACCTGTATGTGTATTTGTAAATAAAATCACCATAACTTTTTATAGTAACTAACTATTACTGTGGTGTCTGTTGGGTTTCGTGTCAGGAAATAAGAAGTATTAGGCAAACGTAATTAGAATCAAGTTATTTTTACAGGAATATAGACGTGCACTCAATACATACATACTAACATAAATAGTTATATGATATGTCAATCAATCAGATTGTAATGGTTTACATGATCACTTAGTAATGAAGGTAGCCATAAGCGGGTGTAGGATGTACGGAGGGAGCCGAATTATGAACCACAGCGTTGAAACTGAAAAATGAAACTTCGTAAATTGGAGGACACTGTCAACAATTGATCTGCACCAGCGAGTAGCTGCCGTGCACAGCATCACCGTCGCGACTCTCGTTTTGGAACTTGTGGTCACCGGTGTGAGGGTCAGCTACAGAGTAAGCGAAATCGTATTTAAGGTGAGCCTGAAATTTAAAATGTTTTTTTAATAAAAAAGGCTGCTTTCAATGATACTGAATTACATACAGTTTAGTAAAAGGCAATTTCTTATAACGTGACCGTCACACCGAGCGACGGGAACAGCGTAATGTACAACAGGGGCTGCATAGGTGGCAATATGAGCGGTTTAGAGGGCCTACACAGGGGCAGTGTAGTGCAGAGAAGCAATGTGGCCTTCATCGTGACGAATGATGTCATTGTGCTTTTAGAGGAAACTGCGTGACCGTGGCCCAGCAGAGCAGCATTAGCAGCAACCAAGGGAGCCCCGAAGGCAACCAGCTGAAGAATGAAGAATATATAAGAGTGTACTAGAAAACTACTATTTTTTAATAACATGTTAATGTTATTAAAAAATAGTAGTTTTCTAGTACACTCTTATCACGCATCTGTAAAAGGCAGATGGAACTAAAGTTCTAGTATTCTTAAGGATCTGATGTAAAACTGCCTTACTTTCTTAAACATCGTAGCTGACTGACTGCACGGATGGCGTAGTGGTATAAGCGGTCGCCACGCCACTTCCTACTACGCCGAGTGTTGTGGGTTCAAACCCCACATGGGACGACACTTTGTGTGATCCACAAATTGTTTTTCTGAGTCTGGGTGTTCTTTGTGTCCGTTTCATGTATGTTTGTAAAGTCCCCCGCGACACAGGATTTATTCCTAATGCGGGAGTTGCCTTTTTAAAAAAAAAAAAAATAATCGTAGTGGTTGGTATTTAAGTATCAAAAGTTGATTGAGACTATTCACTCAATGGCGTGGTTTTATACAATACGTAATAAACGATGCCAACGACAACGTCGGTGGACTCGATGGGCGAAAAAAGTATCTCAGAAACCTTGCCTTTGAAAATGAGATTTATCAAGGTTATTATGTCGATATAACATTTACACGCAACAGTCGTTCACTCATAACCAATTGCTATGAATAAACAAGAGCCTTACTATTGTAATCGTTTACTAGTATTACTATCGTACATGGAACAAAATCAAGGTTTTAAATTAAAAGCTGGTACTGTAGTTATTTATTTATAATTGCGAACATTGTTCTTTTAATTATTTTGAACGAAACTAAGGATCTTTAACGTCGATATAGTAACAATAATAGGTATAAAACATTTAGCCAATTAAAGATCTTCACAGATAAGCACTATTTTATAAAGAAGTGGCGCGGACACTGTAGGTGTGTATCACATAACTTACATATATCTGTTATATATTTCCAAAAAAAGGGAAGAAAGAAAGGGAATAAAATGTCAGTGTCGTGTGACTTGCATGTATTTGGGGTTAAAGTATGCCTGAGGGCCGTGACCGAAGAGGCGGTGAGCTGTGGCGACGTTCTATTGGCGGTGTCATTGGACATCGCAAACGCATTCAAAACTCTACCATTCAGCTAGCCATCAGGGAAGCCCTCCACTCATGGGGTGCCAGAGTACCTGAGGCGGCTGGTGGCAGATTATTTATTAATCTGCAGAATAGGCCCATGTCGTGCGGTGTTCCGGGCTTGATCTTCGACGGAAGGTGGCCCTCGACTTGTGCTTCAAACAGCTTGCTCCAAAGCTGGTCAGCGCTGCGTCTACAATGACACGCGCTGACCAGCGCCTCATGCCGCATTGAGTGTGGCCGCGGGTGGATGGGACGGGTTTTCCCCTCCACCCGTCATAACAGACAGACGCGAGGAGGCGACGTCCACGTGTGCCGGACGTCGCCTAAATAGATAATGTACCCGAAGGTGGTGCCCGCCCCATTGTGGACAGGCGGTAGGAGGGGTCCGGATGTTTTAATAACAGCAGTTTCCAGATCCCTCCTTTTACAGGCGCAGACTGGCATACCGTGTGGTTTTAGTCGAGCCGATTCCGATATACCACCCCGCCGTAAACCCCGGTGGGGTGAAGGCCCGAGGGAGTTTCCACACGTAAAAAAAGGGTTAAAGAATGAAACTGACGATTTTTACTGAAAAATTGTAACTCATTTTTAGGGTTCCGTACCTCAAATGGTAAAAAAGGAACCCTTATCAGGTCACTTTCTTGTCCGTCTGTCATCACTGATTTTCTCAAGAACGGGTGGACCTAGCAAGTTGAAATTTGTACTAGATGTACTAGGTCTATGGTCCCTTTTAGGACTCAACACGATAAAAAGATATGGACAAATTTCGATTTTTGCGAAAACTTGTAAGTACCAAAATTTACCTTAATTTTAAACGTCTTACAGCACAAATAAAGGAATAATTCTAAAAAATGAAAAAAGTTGAATATTAAGAAAAATTTTGGTACTTAAAAATTGTCGCGAAAATCTACGTAAAATCTGGGTAGGTACGGAACCCTCGGCGCACGAGTTCGACTCGTACCTGACCGGTTTTTTTTTTGTAACATGTAACATTTTTATTTAATCAAAATATTTACCCTCATTATCTATACATTGCTGCTGACAGAACGAATTGGATCTAGGTTCGACAAACTGTGTGAAATCATTTTGTACTGCCGCCTGGGATTTTTTTTTATCACGTAAATTTTTTTTCAAATCACGAAAACAATGGAAGTCCGTTGGAGCAGGATCTGGCGAGTACGAAGGATGATGTATGGTTTCTAACTGCAGCTCCTGTAGAGTTACAAAGGTTTCTAGTGCATTGTGAGGTCTTGCGTTATCATGGAGCAATAATAATGAAGATCGATTCACGACTCGGGGCTGTTTCTGCCAGTTTCGACATCATTATCCGAAGTTCGGCACAGTAAATATCTGCTGTTATTGCCTGACCAGACCTGAGAAAGCTACAGTGAATATCACTGTGAAAATACCACCAAACAATTACCATTTCCTTTTTATTGGTAAGCTTTAGTTTAAGGCTCTGTTGCGGCGTTTTTCATATTTTTTATCTTATTGATTTGATGCAAATGAGTCAATATTATAGGTAAAGTAACGTCATACCATGCTGCTAATTCCTGGGTAGTTTCACTCGGATCGGCTTCTACCGTCTCCTTCAATTCAGCGTTATTCACCTGTGTCGGTGGTTTTCCACGTGGTTGGTTCTTTAAGTCGAAGTTTCCATTACAAAAGTGTTTAAACCAAAAATGCACGGTGCGTTCATTAACAGTATTCTCTCCAAACGCAGCGTTGACATTGCATTGGAACTCGTATTAAAAAAAATTCGAATTTTCAAAGTATCTGTCTTTCACGTCTACGCTGAATATAAAAGAAGAACAATTGAAAATCGAAAATCAAATGATGCACGTTTTTTCTCACACCATTGAGGTTTTATGTCAATTGAAAGTATCTAATGCTATGCAACGGCAATTTTCAACAGAATACGAAATAGTGTTCAGTCAGTCATCGTAAATATATATATATATATATATATTTACGATGTTTATTTTTGAGAATAAGTTTCCGATATTTCAGCACTTTTACAACGGTCATGATCACGGATGAACTGAAGAACTGCGGGTAGAGGTTTTTGTGTTACAAGCAGACAAATTTGTGTACTCTCTTTCTCTTTTCACTACTGTCTCGCACTCGAATGCAATCGACGATTTGGAGCTGTTTTTATTTATTTTTCTGTGCAGAGAGTATCCATCAAATTGAGAGAGTTGAGCCCCATCACATAGGCATTTACAATTAAAAAAAATATATATATGCAATAATTCTCGATAACTAATTCAAATAATTTTTCACCAAGCCAGGTCCTGGTTCATCTTAGTTATCACTGCTTTTTTCATCGCATCATTCTGTGCTTTTTATCAGAAAAAAAAGTCACGATCGCACAAATCGTAGAAAATAGTGAAACCGGATTGTCGCCCTCAGAACTTTTTTTCTTGATATCTGAAAAATGCTCTTTCGCAGTGTTGTAAAGGAAATACTGGTTTCTTTCATCTTTGGGCTTGATTTTATCATTAAAGCATTGAAGTAGCTTGTGAAATGAAATATGACAGCAGGTATATTATTTCATATTTTATTTACAACTTTCTCAAACACACACACACACACACACACAAAAATATAAATAAGTTCATGGCTGGTCAAACATTCAGATAGCAGTAGTTAGCGACTGATCGCTCAGTAATGATGGTAGCCGTGAGCGGGAGCGGAGGCGGGGTGTACGGAAGGGGCTGAGTTGTGGACGACAGCGTTAAAACTGAAAAAATTAATAAAAGCAATAGGTATATCAGATGAAGAGAAAGCTCATGTCGTAAGTATCGTTTAGATGTAAGAAGCGAAACCTACCCATGGTGGTCATCAGCGGTGTACTCAACGTTGCGCACGGAACCATCGGGCTGTACCAGCGAGTAGCTGCCATGCACAGCGTCGCCATCGCGGCTCTCGTGTTGGGACTTGTGGTCACCGGTGTGAGGGTCGGCCACGGAGTAGGCGAAGTCGTATTTGGGGTGCGCCTGAAATATACATATCAATATCAACACCAATTTAGTCATTAAATTCATTAATGATGTTATTATGAACCCGTGTATTATGAATTCCTTACGTATGTGTCATGGCCGTCATAATGAGCAGCGGGAGCGGCGTAGTGCGCAATTGGGGCGGCGTAGTGTGCAACGGGGGCCGCGTAGTGGGCAATAGGGGCGGCGTAGTGGGCTACGGGTGCAGCCGCGTAGTGCAGAGGAGCAACGTGGCCCTCATCATGACGCACGACGCTTTGAGAGGACACAGCGTGTCCGTGGCCAAGGAGACCAGCGTTGGCAGCGGCCAAAAGGGCGCCAAAGGCAACAAGCTGAAAACATACATATAAATTTAAGTGATATAATTATATAATATCTAAATATAGTTTCATTATAATAGTCTATGTTATGGTCAAAGGAGTCATGACAAGGACACTTTTCGAAAGCTCCATAGACATGAAAAAAACATAAAAGCATTAGAAATTAGACAATTTGATTCCAAAAAAAAAGAGAATTAGATAGAACACTATAAAGTTGTTGAGATTTACTCTTTCGAAATTTTCCTTTATTTAATTTGAGTCAGTATTTTCTTTCTTTATATAGATTTTAGTATTACTTGAAATTTATGGGTTTTGGAAATACCTAATTTAATTGTTTTTTTCGGATAGGTAGTTACTTAATAATAAAATGTCAACTATAAAAATATTAATACAGTCTTGATCAAAATAATCTATCAAATTTAGTCACTTACTTTGCTGAACATGTTTGGTGGTTGGTTTGTAACAATCAAGTGCTGATTAATGTCATTGGTCGTGTAGTATGGTTTTATAGTTCTTGATCTGACCAAGCGTTGTGTGGTGGGGCAGCGAAATGCGCGCGCGCAAAATGTCTCTAAAACTTTGACATGTGTATCAAGGTCGTATCGATAGTGCAAAGTTATTGATCTGCATCCGGATCTATTTTATTATCTTGTAGGTGTTTATGTAGGTACAGTCATGTAATCTCATTGTTCAAATGCCTTTAATCTTTCTCTAGCTACGTTGGTTAGTTGTTAACGGTTTGTTGATTGCCGGCTTACACATTTCGAATAGCGTTGTTTGGATTTTTGAGATCGTATGTTCTGTGATATCGAACCATGCTTGGCGTTGTTAAGTATTCAAAATTTTGTATGATACTATGATATTTTGATTTTATAGAATCGTGCCTTCAGTTACGTTAATCATAGGTTTTCTATTCCTGGTGGCTAACACTTTTTTAAAGTTTCCATGATTCCGTCTATACTGCTGACAATGTTAGAACAAAATTTCATGTTTATCAATTCATTGAGGCATGAATGCGTAATAAACAAACTTACTTTGATATTTATGATATTTGTTGGGATGAAATATATCTTGGCTAATAGAGCATTTTTAATTTTGGATTGATAGTTTACAGTCAAAAATTATCCAAGAAATGCTAATAAAAACGATAGTCGGTGTAACATTAAGGTGCAATGGTAAGAAAATTTTAAAAGTTTTTCACGAGATCTAAGGTAATCTTTGAAATAGGTAATTGTAAAAGGATTTTCTACATTGATATAAATACTTATAATTGTACAATATTTTATTCTTGTAGGTACATGAAATATCTTAAAACACCAAACTTATAAACAGAGATAAGTGAAAAATCAAATATATTTATGAAACTACTTTTTTGTAATATTTATTGATAAGACATAACGCCGGTGTTTCGTCTTTTGCATCAATCAAAATTAATTTTATTGTAAAATTTAATTATTTATTCCTATTTATTGTTTATAGCTTTTCAGGATTTTAAATGTTTCACTTCCATGATTTTTTTTGAAAAGTTAAAATTTTCAGAGACATTTAAGTTTAAAAAACATTTACATACTTCAAAATATGTAGTTTTTTGTCTTCAACATTGTCGTTATTTTATAATTATTTATTTTTTCAATGATATCAGTCAGTAAGTACAGGTATTAGCTATCTAAACTTTGTAAGTATGCAGATGCTTTACTTGCAGCGTTTATAAAATGCGTTTATTTATTTAGTCAGCCAACGATTATGGATGGACGACGACGACGTCCATCCATAATCGTGAAGACGACGACGACGACGTGGCCTTGCACGTACCTAATATTAATAAAAAATTAAATTAAAAATTTTAAAAACCCCCACACACATCTTGGATTAGAAATTTGTCATATTCATCATTTTATAACCAAATTTGGGGGAGTTGTGAAAACAAAATATAATCCGCCATTTTGTGGCGGCGGCCATCATGGACCGATTTTCATCAAACATAGCTAAGAACATTCGCGACTAATTCACCTTTCAAACAAAAAAAAAGTTCTTAGGTTGGCAGCCCTACTGTCTGTACCCAGTATGTCGACAGTCGAACGAAAACCAAATAATAACTTGACGAAAACCCTTTAATTAAGGCAAAGTGAAGCAGTGGTTTTCGATTTCTAAAAAAAATTGGTTGCCTGTAAAGTCGGTATACGGGCGAAAGTTTTACGTGACAACGACTATGTCTGTCTCTCTCGCTCTTAGGCGGGCTAACCATGCCCGATTGGAAGGGACGCGTGCCTCTCACTCGCTCTCATTGTGAGCGCATAACGTGAGCGGAGCGTAACGCAGTTTCTTGAAGTGTCACCCGGCAAACCAATTTATAAGACGTTGTCACGTCAAAAAACTAAATCAAAAGCGGTTTATCCATTCGGGAGCTACGATTCCAGAGACACATAGACACAGACACACACAGACACGTCAAACTTATAACACAAAGTCGCTTTTGCGTCGGGGGTTAAAAATAAAATAGGAGATTGGAAAACGATTAATTTGACAAGATTTAAAATAGAAATAAAAATAAAATAACTATTAATTACTTAGCAATTATATGTTTTTTTTAATAATGTAATTAAAGAAAATATTAAAATAACAATTAAAACGAGGTTGAATAAAAATATTTACAAACTTATTCAAAGTGATATATAGTTGAGTTATTCAAGTAAGCATTTTAACAATAATATGAAGCATTAAAATTATATAACAAGTAAGTTAGGATTAAATAAAATAATTAGAAATTTAAAAAATGCGATTTAAAAATGAGATAAAATTTAGTTCTAAAATTAAAATCAAGATTATAATCTAAATTTTGTTAATTCTGAACCAAATTAACACCACAACAAAAGTTTCATAATTAAATAAGATTTAATTTATATTTTTCACAAAAAATAACATTACAGCTTAGTCAACAATACAATGTAGCAGGTATTTGCAGCATTCAGCATGACTTAATACTCGTAAAGGCCGACCCAATTCGATTTTCGTGACTTATTATCATGGTTAGTTGATTTAATAGTTCAGTTATAATAAAGATTTATAACAATCTAGTATCCTTTGTTTTTTATTGAACTATAATGTGTGACTTAATCGTTACGCAAAAGTTAGTTTTATAACTAGAGTGCCATTTGTTTTTAAATGTTTTAATTCAGTCTGCAGGAGTCCTTTATTTTTTTATATTTTTCATTATCTGTGGAATTGGTAAACCAAAATTTTTGCAATCTCATGTATTTGCATTGATATTTTGTTTTTTTTTTGTTATCTTACAGTTTAACAAATATTGTCATTTAAATTTCTAAGGTCTAACTTTTAAAGTACAATTTATTAAGTACAAGTGCATGGTCTGCCATGAAGTTTGTTGACTCACTAGTTGCCAAGTCCACAAAGACCTTTGGCTATCTCTCTCTTTCTGTACTTATATGAAGTAACTACTACTAAACGTTAATTCAATTTCATCTTTCGAAATGAGATTCGAACTCAGCAATAATTATTGAGGAACCATCCCGCATCAGGGCCTGCAATGCCTACAGTACTGAACAACAACAAGCTAGAACTTAGGTGAAGCGACATCCATACGCTTAGGTGAATTGCCTAGTGCATGCACTAAGCCAGTTTTGACCTTGCTCTTTAAAAGGTCATTGTTCTTTTGAACATTTAAGGTAATAAGGTGCTAGATGCAAGGCTGAAGTTGTCACCATAATATGGTGGAGAAATATGTGGTAAGTAAAGTTGATTGCTTGCTGTTGTCTATACTGATGATGAAAATTGGTAAACATTGATGACATTCTAGTGATGTATGTTTCCTGAATAATTGTGTGGTACGCAATATACTTTTTATTTTGTATTTAGACTGTCTATGAACGCATAGCAAGATCAAGGCTCCCATATTGCATGCAAACCCTTAGGTAATTATTGTTATTTCAAATTACATTAGTTACAAAGCATCCCAGTCATGTAAAAACTATGAAACGAAAAATATTAATTTACACGTGTCTAAATAATTGTAAATAGTAAAAAATGTAATAAAAAGAAAACTATGTACGTAGACGTAATTTTATCGTGTTACTTTCATTACAATAATTTGTACGAAAGAGTTTACGTGTTTGCAAGGCGTAATGTACGACCGTATGCATCTTACGACTGCAACTTGTTACTTGTTGTTACAATGGAATTCTGCAAATCAATTAGTTAGCTAGCTTGAAGTAGTTACCAATAATACTGCAGGGCATTTTAACTAGCTGAGGATAAACTCCTTTAACGGTATACTTCGTCAGTGACCAGGATGTTATCTAAAGCCCCCTTTGAGGTCGCATTCTTATGCGAAAAAAATATCAATATGTAGGTATATAGTTTCTTAACAAGTTTTAAAAAAAGAAAGAGATTCTCAATTTGTTGAGGTATTTTTTTTGGTTCCTGAAAACTCCGTCATTTAAGAACTGATTTGAAAAAGAATGAAGAATACATTTACAGAATATATTATAATTAATCATGATGTAGATTGTAGACGCATGGAAGTCGTTGTTTGTTTTTATAAAAGTTAATCATTACTTGTCAGTGTGGTGACCGATTAAGAATACGGAGTGTCACCGCCACTATTTATCCCATGGGTATCGTAAGAGCCGACTAAGGTAGCAAACTACGCAGGAAAACACGTCGGTCGGATTTATTACCGGAACATTTCCAAAATTACGTGTTTTGAGATTGGTATGTGGATTGGTAGGGATTCCTAGAGCCTCAGTTCTAGTTGTCAGGAAAGATTTTTTTTTTATTAATCTTCTCCTATTCTATATTGTTTAATTACAAAATGTTCCACTGATACTTTAATATTTACAGTCCACCACTAGTTCATCAACGGTATTTTTTGAAATGGTTCAGTTTGAATTTGAAATTTATTCTGTTAACTCAGAATGTTACACTACAGTCGCATTGTCAAAAGTTTCAAATCTGTGCAGAAGAGACAACCAAAGATCGGGCTCCGGGGAATGATGCTGCACCACGACAATGCGTCTTCACACTCTTCTCTTAGAATAAAGGCGTTAAATCAAGAATCGGGTACCCGACCTCACCCACCTTACAGCCTCAACTTAGCTCCTTGTTGTTATTTGCCACCGTAAAAGATAATATAAAAGGCAAGTTTTTTCAAGTGCTGAAGAAGCGGTGGCTGCCTATGACAGCCATTTTTGACCTGTTGGAGGAAGACTGGAATAAGTGTTTCCAAGACTGGTTAAGACGGATAAAAATTTGTATAGAGAGTGATGGAGAGTATTTTGAAAAATACATAATACAAATTGTAAGTATAAATGGTTTACTTTTCGTGTGTCTCAAAATTTATATAGTGACCTACGTTGTAGAGATTAAAACCTGTCTTTGGACGATATGTATATTTTAGAGATTTAAAGTTGGTAGCAAGTGGTAATTT